TGTCAACTTGTGATACATCTTTAAACTGCATGTAAAGATCTAGAAGAGAGTTACTGGATTTCCTTTATGAGGCTGTGTCTTAGAGTGACAGGTGACTGACTTGTTGGTCCCGCTCAGTTATATGTCAGGATGTTCTTCTCTAAACCTGAATCTCAGCTTATTTTCTACAGTTGAGTGTATTAATAGGGAGCCAGTGGTTTGCCTAGTTGAAGAAATACAAGAGGAGTTAAGTTCTTGGAACTGTGTGTGCTTAATACGTATTGAAAGCGTTATGGTGCATAGAGACATTACTCAATCAAATTGCAATTAATTTAAAACATCTTTCTTTAAAGATTTAGCAAAAAAAAAAAAAGAAAGAGGAAATTTTTTTTTCTTCTAAATAAAGTTATTAGTGATGAAAGCCTTTCTCCAGAAAAAGATCACTCCCTTTTAAAAGGGCAAATTTTTAAATGTCAGTGTCTAATAATACTAGTAAGTGGCATCCGTATTTAATTTAGCTTAACCACTTTTTTAAAACTTGAGTAGCATTTTCTATAAATGTACATGTATTTTAGAAAAATACTTTGTTCAAAGCTTGTCTCCTTATAGCTGTAACTAAGAGATCCCCAAACTGTTTTGAGATGTTTTTCATAAACATGTACAGTTTATGTATTACTTATTTGCCATTTATAGTGTCATTTATGTACAATTTGTGGACGTTGAAGTTGTTGTAGTATGTTTTGTTAACTCAGTTATCTAATTTAAGATACTGTATATTACATTGGCCTGAAAGAAAAACTGAATGTAGTAGTTTTGTTCATAGTGGACTTTTTGGGGGGGGGCAGTAGTTATTCTATAAGTTGCCCTGAGTTCTGAAATATAATTTGTTTAGAAACGTGAGAAGTAAGTTTCTTTTCATGAAAGTGTGGAATACAGGAAAGACAAACTTTTGAGATGCGTTTGACCAGGATTTGAAATTTGGTCCTGCCATTTCTAGCAGTGTAGTTCCAGGCAAATTATTAAATCTTTTTGAACAGAGCTCGTTATCTTCTTAGGGAAGGATAGTAATTTCAGCTTCATAGAGTTTGGAATAATTAAATGAGATGGCAAAAAGTCAGAGCACTTATTTAATATAGTACTTGTACATTGTAGTCATTCAGTAAGTGCTCCATTTATCAATGAAATTTTAATTCTTTTGCAATTCAGCTGTGAAATGTTATTTCAGAATGATTTTCAATAGAATGGAAAATAGATTAACTTTTTTGACTGGAAGAAGAAAGTGATTGGGTGGAACCAGGACATTATAGATACTAGTTATGTAAAGCTTTATTATTAGGACACTGTAAAACTGTCAGTGAAGGTTATTCAGACACAATTTAGTACTCTAATTTGATTTACAAAAGAAAATGTTTTATTGTGTACAGTCCATTTAAAATTAAAAGATATTCTTTGAGAATGAGTTTTCAAAAATCGGAAACATTTAGGTTGCTTTCACAAACTATCATTTAACTTTACTGAGATACTTTATGTTTTCTTTTATATTTAATTTAATTTTGGCTTCAAATTCACATATGTGAATATCTTAATCATTCTATTGGATATTGTACTCATTTATCTGATAATTAGATGTCTGGCAGTCTCGGTCATGGGGAACCTTGTATTTAAAAGAAAATGGCTTAAAAGCCATCTTTATAATTGAGTATGAAGTAAGAATAGTGGCTTCCTAATCATGGTTCCCTAGGTTAGACATAGTCAAGGGCATGAAGCGGAGGAGACCACTAGAAACTTTTACTTTGAAACAACTGTTCTGAGCAAGAAGTTCCATTTTATTTTACTTTATTCATATCCTTTAATTATGTATATTATGTGTAAATTACTCAATGTGTTAAGAAGAAAAGTGTATTTTTTTAGTAGTTCTTTTTTTGTTTGTTTTGGGAGGGGTAGTTAGTTTATTTATTCATATTTTTTTTAATGGAGGTACTGGGGTTTGAACCTAGGACCTCGTGCATGCTAAGCACGCACTCTACCACTGAGCTATTCCCTGCCCACCAAGCAATATGTTTGAAGCAATAATGGAAAGTTCCTAGTCTCCTCTACTGCCAGTCACACTTTGATCTTACTTTCCTTTCTAATGGTCAGTGCTATTAACAGAATAGCACATGTCTGTCTACACTTTACTCTGTGCTGTCATACCACAATGTTTGTTTCAACATTTATGGATTCATACATATTCTGCATCTTTTTTTTCCAGTTAATATCTTGGAGATCTTTTTATGTCAGTATTATAAATCCACTTCAGTATATTTAACAGTTATTTGGTATTCCAAAGGATGGATATTCCACAGTTAACCATTCCTCTGCCCGTGCTCTCCAGACAAAGATGCCAGGTACACATCTATAGCTGAACACATTGAGTTTATTACTTTCTGCAACAGAGGAGAATGCATACCATGGGGAACTGTAGGGTATCTCAGTAAGATGTTAGAAAGGACTTACTGTAGAATGGGCACACGTTAGATAATTCGGGGGGAGGATTTAAGAAACTGGGGCTTTACTCTGGATTGGATACTGTCAGGAAACTGGACAGTTCCATGGTGGGTATCTTAGTAAGTCTTATTTAGAAGGAGGGAAGAAGACTGGACCAAGGCTCAAGCTGTGATTAGTAATATTGGCCTGGACCGGGGTACTTTTTATGGAATGTTCGTGTTTTATCTGTGTTTGGATATCATTACAGAGTGATGACACTTGGTGTCACAAGTCACATCATGGTGACACAAGTCACACAGTGGCCTTGTCTGATGTTTACATTCTGTGAAATTGTTTATGTTCATCAGGGGAACATCCCTGTTAGTGTCACCAGCTCAGAGCAAAACCAAGGTCTGGCTGATACTACCAGGCTAGCTCTGAGATGTCAGGGGCTGCTTTTTTCTTATGCTAAGACAACTAGGTTGTAGCCTGGTTTTTTTGTGGGTTTTTTTTTGTGGGGGCGGGGCACAATTTTTCATTTTCATGGTTAAAGTAAACATTTTTATTATGTGGGTTTTTGTGTATATGTGCAAGTATTCTTATGATATAAATTCCTAGAAGTAGAATTATATTAAAGGATATAGAAAGCATCATACAATTTGATTTATAATAACTGCTGAGATGCCTATACTTATTTCTGTTCCCACCAACAGGGCACCTTAGCCAAGAATAGGCATTAACGCTCTAAATTTTTTTTTCCTGGCTAATGGAGATCTTATTAATTTTATTTATTTATTTATTTATCTGTTTATTTTACTGGTGAGTTTGAACATTTTGGCCTTTTTTTTTTTAAACCATAGTTTTCCTGCTCATATTCTTTTCCCATTTAAAAATTTTGATAATTAATATCTTTCTTGTTGAGTTTTAAGGGTATTTTATATGTTATGGATATTAGTCCTGTGTTATATTTGTGGCAAGTATTTTTACTTACCCATAGGAAAGCTTTCTCCACCCTGAGATGATTAAAACATTATTAATCTAACAAAGTTATTTTACTTTACCCTTTAAAACATTTAGGTTATTAATCTATCAACAATATGGAATATTGTCATGTAATTTTTTTCCAAAAAGATCTCTAGTGTCCCACGACCATTTGTTGACTAGTCTGTTTGACAGTAACTGGAAATACCACATTGTGTTCTAAATGCCTGTGTAGACATTAGCCTGCAGTAGAATTTCTCTTACTTGCCCTCTAGTTAACTAACTAGATTAACTGATACTTTATTCTCTCTGAATAATATACTGACTGAAGACCTCTGTAAGCTTAATGTCTATTGCTGGTAGGCTACTAAGTACTATGCTGTTACAGTTCGGTTTCTGCTAGTTGAATTTTACATCACTAATACTCAGGTTTGGTCATTCTAAAAACTTTATGCCAGCTGTGTTGTTGCATTTTCATTATTTAATTCATTATTATGTAAATCAGTAAAATATGAGTACAAACAGAAGGAAAGGTGCCATTTCAAAGAAAGCAAAATTGTATGCTTTAGAAAGAAATAGTGGGTCAGTTAAAACTTGAGGCTAGAAAGGACATAGTTTACTTAAATTTGATTAATATATGCATATATTAATATAAACAGATGTAGGTGCAGGGAATGAAATACATGAATCAGGGATTATTTTTGTCCTGCAGGAAAACCTGTTAACTGAAAACCAAAACAATAATAAAAAATTGAATTGAATACAGTTTGGTGTATGAGAGGGAGTTTATTTTCTAATTTGTAGACCTTTATATGGTTTCTTGTAAAACATTTTAATAATGCAGTCCATATTATAGCTTTGTATTGTAAGGACATATACACAATAAAAATGTGTTAAAAACTCAAGTTGTTAATTGCCTAATGTAGCATTTCCATACCACAGGAATGTCTGTGTAGGCATTTAGAACATGATATGGTATTTCCAATTAGTTAAAAAAATACTGATCATTCACTTTAAAGTTGAAAAGAATGAAGGCTAGATTACTGCATTGTATTAGTTATCTATTCTTGTACAACTTACTTCAAAACTTAGTGACTTGAAACAATAAACATTTGGCATCTCACACAGTTTCAGTGAGAAGCCAGAGAGTGGCTTAGCTGGGTGGTTCTGTCTTAGTTTCTCAAGAGATAGTAGCCAAGATGACAGCCATGACTGCAGTGATCTGAAGGCTTGATGAGGGCAGAAGGGTACACTCCCAAAATGATTTACTCACAGGGTGCTGCATATTGTCAGGAGCCCTCAGTTCCTCCTCATGTGGGTCTACCATGTGTGGTCTATCAGAAAGAGCAAGATAGAAGATGTAGTCTTTTAAGACCAAGTCTGAGAGGTCACAGACCATCACTTCTGCCGTATTTTATTTCTTAGAAGTGTGTCAGTAGGATAGCTCATACTCAAAGGTGGGGGAATTAGGCACCTACTCTTGAAGAGGAGAGTAACCACTATACTGCAGATATTTATTCTGTGTGTGTATTGGTCAAGGAGAGGGAGGGATTCATTTATGTTCATCTTTTTAGGACACTGCCTTAGGAAAACCACGAGAGGTGTTTCGACTTCCTACAGGTTTGACAACATACGACAATCGCCTTTGTGCGTCCATCCATTTCACGTCTCCTACCTGGGTTACCTTGTCAGATGGAACTGGAAGATTGTATCTTATTGGAACAGGTGAACGTGGAAACAGTGCTTCTGAAAAATGGGAGGTGAGTTTTTGTTTTTTTTTTTTTTGACTTATGCAAAATCTGGAAAGTATATAAATTAGATCTTAATGATTTTGAAATAACACTTTTTTAGGGATTGTTTGTGTTTTTTTTAATAATACGTAGTGTTGTAGGTATCTTTAAAATTAAATTATAGAAAGTATACCTTTTACAAAACCGGTATTTTAGTCATTCCTGTTTTTAGCTGGAGTCAGTGCGGTTGTCAAGAATTGCATTCGTTTTCCAGTGAATTCAGCCAGATTCTTGTCGAGTGCTTATAAAACAGTACACTAAGCGTTGACATTCCTGCCGCTGCCTTCTTGAAGATGTGGCCACAAAATTACCTTGGCCTCTTTTCTTCTCTCTTCTTGTTATATTTTCTTGTATGTTTATGCACCCAGTATACTTCCACTGTGCCACTCTGGCTAAACTGGTCAAGTAGAAAGTGTACCATGGTATTCCCTACTCAGAAAAATATACTGAAGCATAAGTAACTATAGTTACGTACCAATCTCTAAGATGCCATTTTTACTTCAGTTTTTTAGAAACAACATAGAAAACTTAAGTCTGAGGGGCAGGTAGGATTTTAATAGTGATAAATATGGAATTAATTTCTCTAGAGCCATAGTTTTTGGAAGTAGACAAGAATGACAGTGAGTTGTGCTTAGTAAGTACAATGTGATATTGCTCCTAGCTAAATCTCAGCAGGGGGCCTTTAGTTCTGGGTAGCTAAAGAGATATGAATTTAATATTTTACATCTGATAAAATGTTTTTATCAGATCAACAGGTGCCTACAAAGACCAGACTTTAGTTATTTGAGAAAAACCAAAAAGGCCTTAGTGATTTCCCGTTCTTAATAAGTTACACTAAACGCTATACTATCAAATCATAGTATGTTCAAAAAACTAAACAAAAAATTACCACAACAATAGGCTGTGTATACGGGGCCTTTGTAGTCACTGTTTGAAATATTCATTGAGTATTGTGACATTTTCAGCTCTGGCCTCCAGTAATAACTTTTTTTTCTTTTTTGTTTACTGAGGCAACATGGTATATAGTGCAGCTACCTTAGATAGTTGAAAGGAATTTAGAGAATGATGGGCAGGAGAGATATGAATGAGAATTTATCTCTTATCAAGCTGTGTGGCTTCTGTTGGCTTTCAGTAGGAAGAAGCACCCTGACCCTGTTCACCTTCAGCTTAAAAATAACACCACGTGTTCTGCCAGAAGGATGTGGACATTCATATGGGTTTAAAATTCATTTGGTTTCTGCTATGCGTATCCCCTTGGCACATACGGGCCTTCAATAATATTTTTTAAAATCAATTAAAAATGTAAATCTATTCCATGTCCTCTTCAGTATATATATATACTGCTGTAATGAAATCAGCCCTCCCTGGGGGGGTGAGGGAAGTGGGGAAGGGGTGGGACTTGGGCATTAACTGAGATGGAAGGGGTACTGTGGAATACTGGTCACTCTGAGAGAAATAACTCAGCAGGGTTTTGGGACTTAGGGGGAATTGGTGTAAGAGAGGAAGCTAAAGGTGGGAGTGATTGGCGGCATGGTAGGGCATGAGGGGTCCCAGCTAGTGTAGTGGTGGCGCCTGAAATATAGAAAGAGAAATAAGACAAGGAAGACTGCCTGTTTCCAAATGTGTGACCTCTAATATGATGGGGGTGCTGTGTATCAACAACTCACAGTCGATTTGCTAGCCTTGTTCAGAAGCCTGGAAACTTCAGCCTAACAATTTTTAGAAGTCCAGATGTCTGCACTTCTGGTCTCATTCCAGTCTGTTTCACTCATGGGAGAGAAAGAAGAGGAGGAAACAGTAAACTGGCTGTTTGTACTTGACCAAACTTACCATTTTTACTTCCTCCCTTTCTATTTCTCCTTGTTCCCCCAAACAAAAAGCAAAACCCAGTCAACCAACTAAAAACCTATTTACCATCTGTTTTGAGTATTTGAGGGTTTTTTCCGCCCCTGCTTATGGAAGACTTTAGAATGGATTCCAAAGGTCTTCTGTTTGAATAATTTTGGCAGAGTTGCTCAAACACAAAGGGAAATTGATGGCATTAAAGCACACTTTTCTTTATAAGGCTTTCAGGTAAGACCCGATATTGAAGGAATTCCAGATACAAGTTTAGAAAGAAAGAGCGAAGTTTTGTTTCTTAGTTAGATTTTTTGCAACTATTTTTTTTTCTTTGATTTGAAAAGCCTGTTTAATCAATCTTAAAACCTCTCCCATTTAATATTTACTCTAATAAAAATATAGTAGTCTTTTAGATTATAAGATTTTGTGTCTCTGCATGATGCTTTGATATGCTTTTTTTAAAGCAGCTTCAGTATTTAAATAGAGTTGGTGGAGTTATACCTTTTAATTGTAAATGGGCTCTTTTGTTTTTGAAAATTAAGAAAGTCTTTGTGATTTGTTCTCCAATTCCTTTGACTCTTACCTTTGTAAATTTCTGGAAAACAAATAACTAAATAGGAATAAAGCATACACACACACACACACGTGCATGCACACACACACACACACACACACGTACAGTGTTACACTATACAGAAACTAAGAGGAAGAAAGCAAAAATAAATCAGATATGAGAATGTCCTCTGTTGGAGCACTCTTTTCACTTGACAGTTCTTTTCTAGAAGATTGCTTTTAGTTCCCTTTCTCCTTTAGCTGCTGTTTGGACGCCCTGTTCTCTCTGTTTTTAAGCTAAGAGTACTGAGCAGTTTTCTCTGTTAAACAGGTATTTTCTAAAAGTTCTTTCTTCAAGGAATATGATTGAAATTTGCAAGCTTTAAGGGTTTTTTTCATTTTTGTACCCTTGTAGTAAGTAATATCCAGATTATTTGTTGGATTGACAGAATTCTATGTATGCCCTCTGTGCTGTATGCATTCATGTAGTACATTTTTGTGAGTGTCATCTTTTTTCTTTTTTGTAGATAATGTTTAATGAAGAGCTTGGGAACCCTTTTATCATAATTCACAGTATCTCATTGCTGAAAGCCGAGGAACATTCAGTAGCTACCCTGCTTCTTCGAATAGAGAGAGAGGAATTGGATATGAAAGGAAGTGGTTTCTGTGTTTCCTTGGAGTGGGTCACTATCAGTAAGAAAAATGAAGGTAAAACATAACAAAATTCTGATCTCTCTGTAGTGGTTGCTGTAATTCAGTAGGTTTTGAAATGCAGAACTATTCCTGTAAGTGCTGTTTGCTTTTTCTTAGGCGTTGTGCTATGATTCTAGTACCTGCCACCCAGTGGAATGAATAAAGATAGTTTCTTCTTAGGTATGGATTGTAAAAACGAAATAAAATAATGTGCTTCCACAGTCAGATATGCCTTTTTTTATAAAATGATACACTATTATATAATTTTGGAAGAATTTAAAGTGTATATTTTTAATATACAAAAATATCTTAGTATATGTGTGTGTGTATATACATATATATATACACACACATACATACATGTGCACAAGATTTGTTCTTTGAAATTTTTCATGTAATTTGTTTGCCTTTCTTCCCAGTGTTGTAGTTTTATCTCTAGAGGAACACAGTAACTTAAAACTTTGGATTAGGTGTTGGAAACTCTGTAAAGGGCTAGACTGTAACCAACCATATGACTAATATCACAGTTACTCAAGTGTGATGTTCTGGTGCAAAAGCAGTCATAGACAATACATAAGTGCATGAGTATAGCTGTGTTCCGGTAATTATTTATGAACACTGATGTGAATTTTTTAGAATTTTTACATGTAATTAAATTTTTTACTTTATTTTTTTGAACCATTTAAAAATACAAAATTCATTCTTTGGCTCATAGGTCATAGTTTGCAAATCCCTGCTTTAGATAAATAAAAGCTTTGATTCTTTAATTAAGGTAAATAACTCAGCATCTCACAGGAGAAACTGTCATGCCTGTTCCTCCTCTTTGCTGAGACATTCTGTGACAGCTTTAGCTCTGTCCACAGTGCACAGTGCCACTCTGCTCTAGTCCCTCACTTCCCTTCCCTTCATCTTCCTTTGTTTAACTCAACTGGACAGATATGTTTGGACTCACCTTTTTTTCTCCTCCCGTAATTTTAATTATTGTAATTGTAGAAACATTCCTTTTGTGGTTTGCTTTAACTTTCTTTTCTTAATATCGCAGTTCCTTTTTCCTCCAAATTACTAATTATTTTACTTTTTATTTTCTAAGGAACATAACAGAGCAGTGTTGTATTTCTAAACTGTGTTGAGTGGAACATCTGATAAATTATATTTTGTGGGCAAGCAAGTTTGAAAATGTGGGCACACAATATCCCCACTGAACATTAAGCATATTAAAGTTTCTTAAAGTTTTGAGTAAAAAGGAAAATTTAATTTTGACCCAGCATTTCCCTCCTCATTTAGCCATGGAATTCACTTCAGACCTACTATTTTCTGTCCCACACACACTGGGAAAAACCACCCAATAAAATATTCAGTGTTTAAGTTTGGGTCTTTAGAGGCTGGTAGGGCTCTGCCTTGCATGTACCTGTGGAGGAAAATTAAGAGTTTTTAGTTCATTCATGAAATGGAAAGTCTATTCTTAAATATATATGAAATGAATGTGTGAATACAGGTGAAGATTTAGAGAAAAAACAGTGACAGACGTTTTAGAACAGATTGTATTATTATGTATAATATGACATTGAGTTATGATTTTGACTACTTAGTGTGAAGCTTTCAGGTACCACCACTGTAATAGAGTAACAATGTAAGTAAAGGTACGGACTCAACTAAAATGTTTGGGTACTTTTTAAAGCCAAAAATAACTTCGTTTTTATAGAATAAATTCAGTTAGTTTATCAGAAACTTTTAGGACACAGTTAATTGTTCATATCTTTAAAATTCTCAGTACCTTTATTTATGTTTGATTATACTAGGTAGATAGATCTACATCTGAATTGTATAAAAATAATTTCTACCATAAACATATTTCATTTTAAGAAAACCCCTTATCAGTAGATAGAACAGGCAGAAATTAGTCCACACCACACTTTTTCCATTATCATCAATTCTTGGCTCTTTTCAGAAGATACCTAGTCATACTGGTTGAGAAAGTAGACAGGCTGTGGTCAAGGGACAGGTAGGCTTTTTTCAGAAGTTAGTATTTCAGGTGAGTAAGTCACTTCTGTGATTTAGAGCTCTGCTATCCAGTAGAAATTTTTCCAAAATGGACAGGTTTATATTGTGGCCACTCAGTATGATAGCAGAATGTGTGACTTTTGAGCACTTGGAGGGTGGCTAGTGTGACTGAGGAATTCAATTTCAAATTTTACTTAATTTTAATTAAATAGCTATTTGTGGCTAATGCACGTTGAACACCACAATCTACAGCAAATTTCATCAGACTTAGTATCTTAAAATGGGGATTTATTTATAGAAAATTAGTTGAAAATTTTTTTATCCTTATTAAAAAAGGTATTTAACAGTGTGCTCTTTAATAGTACATTTAAAATATTTAAATTAGAATTAATATACAAATATTTTCAAATATTTTTATAGTACAGTTTTATTTGTAATTTTTCATCCTAAAATGCTTTATTTTCTTACAGGTGAAAAATATGAAATTACTAAGCATGATGTTCTCCATGGAAAGTCAGTGCCACATTATGCTGCTATTGAGTCTGATGGCAATGGTCTAATGATTGTCTCCTACAAGTCCTTCACATTTGTTCAGGTTGGTCAGGATCTTGAAGAAAGTGGGGATGAAAACATGTCGGAGAAAATCAAAGGTAATTTTACTTTGAATCTCCTCAGAGAGCTCCTGTGTATTTATATTCACATGTATATGTATATATCTGGTTTGTCCTCCCAGATGAGTTATGAGTTTTACCAGGTCAAGACATGTGCTTAATTTTTCTTTATTTTCCTTTATATTTCCCTGAACAGTTGTTTATAAATACTTCTGTAATTAGCAAAAATATTTTTTAAAAATCTATGTATTAGCTTACCTGATTAGATATTTAATAAATACTTATTGAATGAATAAACAAATACTAATGTCTGTTGTTGGTGTCTGGAAAGCCAGCATATTAGTGTTGTAGGTAATACTTTAAAAAAAAATAAGCTAACCTCTGTTCACTCTAGGTATACTAATGATATATTCTTACCTTTAATATAAACTGAAAGGAAGGAAGAGAGGAAGGGACAAAGGAACTGTTTTAGAATGAGTAGAGTAAAAAGTTCTTTCAGAAGAAATTTATATTTACATACAAAGAGTAAGTTAAAATAAAAAATTCAAGGACATTTCTCTATAATCATTACTGTTCCTATTTCTGATGTTTATAGCCAGAGAACAGTATATTTTACTTAACAGAGGTTTTCACAGTATTGAACAATTATACATACTACTCTTTGCATCAACCTTTTTTATTACTTTAACTTAATTATTTAAAATAAAAATTAATTTCACTGTTTTATGTATGTATTGCTTTTAAAAAAATGAATCCTGTGAAAAATATTTTAAAATACTAATGTAATAAATATTTTAAAAATATTTTCTCCAGGTTTATAAACATTATAACTCTAAATAATAGAGTTGTGCTTGGTGGCCTTTTAGCCTCTTAACAGCTTGGTTTCCTCACATGTGATGCTTTTTATGAGATCTTTTTCTGAATAAGTTGTACTGTTCTGTCTGTTGTTAACTCTCCTAGAGCTTAGCCAGAGCAGCGATTCATATCGCTAGACCACATGCCCTTTGAACTCCTTTGGTGAAAGAATGCCTTAATCCTTGGAACTTAGTCTGCCTAGTAGCGAGGGCCATGTGGTTCTAAGACAGATGTGCAGCCTAGTTGGGACACATTATGTGGTTACTAACCACTGGTCCATTGTTCCTCGTGCTGACATCTCACATCATGTTTTGAATTCCTCCTGAATTCATTCTTCCCTTTTAATGTAAACCCCAAGGCCCTTCCATTTTTTGTTTTCCTTCTAATAAACAGCCCTTAATTTCTTGTGCCCACTTTCTCTTATTCCGGAAATTTACATAAATTATTATGTAATAACTTACCTTATTATAGAAATTTCTTCTGTATTTGTTTTATCACAGGACTTTCACAATAAGAAAAGAGAAGTGTAAATTTTTAAAAATTATGGATAGTTTGTTAATTAGTGTTTTCTTTTAAACACTTCTGAATATATATATTGGTTTCATTTTCTGTAAGCTTCAAGAAGACTGATACTATCTAGTGCCTATTTGATATTGTCATGACATTATAAATAATGACATTTTCTTTTAAAGACCTAACGCACTCTTTAGAGATATAGAAAGGTACTCAAAGCTGCCAACAATGGGAAGAATTATTTAGGTGATTGTGTAATTTTGATGGAGACAGGATTAAAAAAATTCTGACTTTCCCTTTAGTTTACTTCCATGGACTTTATTTATACTAAAAGCTCATGTGACTTTACAGACTCCTCCCACCCCCATATTTGGCAGAAATTGATTATTATATATAAACTGCCTTGTTAACATTTGTAGGAGACAACAGATGAGTAAAACAATTTACTTATCTAAGGGAGCTTATAGTACCAGTCTTTTAAGCTATATGTCACGCTTTTTCAGTAAGTTTACATATTTGGGGGGGGGTACTTAGGTTTGTTTGTTTATTTAATGGTGGTACTAAGGATTGAGCCCAGGACCTTATGCATGCTAAGCACAGGACTCTACCACTGAGCTACATCCTCCCCACTTCAATAAGTTTATAGTAAAAGTACTTACTTCTAAAGGCAAAAGGTAGAGGATCTGAGAGGCTGCTTAAAGGAATGTGATACAAATTAGACCCCGAAGTAACAATATTATCCTAAAAATTCATAATTATTTCTATATTACCATATTTTCTAAAAGAAAAATTTTAACATCAGGTAAAAGTGACCCTTCCAGAACATATACCATACTTACGCTGTATCTTTGAGTATATCAAGTACCCCCCAAGTTTTTGCATAAAACCACACAAAAATAAAAATAATAGCAATGCAAGTCAGTTTATGATATATTTAGATAATGAAATTGATATTAAATGTTTTTCATGCATTAACTAATTTAGGTATCAGTAGTCAGTCCTAAGAGGCATGTAATAATTCTGTTATCCTATTTTACAGATTAGGAAAATGAGGATTAGTGGTACCACAATTATTAAATAGTTGGATCCAGGATTCAGATCCAGGACTAGCCAACTCTAGAGCACTAGTTCCTAACAGCTGTTACATTCCTTTCTGATGAATGGGTGCACAGACTAATGTTTACAGATGCCACTAAGCAAATATTTATTCATTTTGCATTTAAGCCCTGTTTTCTTATTTCCATGGTTATATGCGTCTAAAGGTGTTTCTTCAGTAGATAGCTTTTTAGGAGACAGGCTGAGAAGTTAGAAGAAGTGGTGAAGGGAGGATTCTTTTATTGGGAACTTAGACAATATATAGTAACAGCCCTTGAATTTCTTATGAAATTGCTTCCATGTTGTTAAGTAAAATAGCCAATACCTTTGTAAGGAAGATATATCTTTTATTTTTGTGTAGATGTATATCCTACCAAATAATAATAGTCTCCTGTATCACAAGAGTTAGTACCTTGGCAACACTGGCAAATCAAGTCTTTGAAAGTTTCAGACGGGAGTTTATGACATACTTGATATTCTTTTGAACTAGGAATCTGCTGTGTGTAACAGGAGGAGGAGAGTAGGAATACTAGGAGGCTGGGAGAGAAGGAATGGGATTAAAGGGCTGCTATGGTTTGCATTTTGTGAATATGTATCTCCCAAAGCATTAGGTAAGCCTGGAACAGGAAAATGTCAAGTGCAATTGCTGCAACTCTTTGAGTGAAAATTCCCCAAAGAGATCTGTGTGTCTGTTTATAATTATTGTTTTGTGAGATCATTAGAAAATATGCTAAGATAGGTGTTCTAGTCTCTGACTTTGTATGTTATGTTCTAGTCTGATTTTTTATTATATAAGGCACTTTTCTTTTCCCAATAGAACCTCTGTATTATTGGCAACAGACTGAAGATGATTTGACTGTAACTATACGGCTTCCAGACGACAGTACTAAGGAAGACATTCAAGTACAGTTTTTGCCTGACCATGTCAACATTGTGCTGAAGGGTCAGAGGTTTTTGGAAGGAAATCTTTATTCATCTATTGATCATGAAAGCAGTACATGGATAATTAAAGAGAATAATAGGTATTTGTATATTATAGTTTTAGTTATATTTAAAATTTTACTTTTTATCATTTTACTTTTTTCTTTTTTTTTTTTTTCATTCCTTTCTATAGTGGTTACATCGTAGGTGAGTACTACAACAGGTCCATCAGTGTTGCTGATTATTTTTAAGATAGATTAAAAATGGAATTACTCTGTCAAAGAGCACCACTGTAGTTAAGATTAAAGATACTAGTATAGTTATTTGCATAAATGGCAGTGCTTTTCATTACCAGCTCTGGATACAATAATAACAGTAACAATAATAACAATAAATAGGAGAAAATGGTTATTTAAATTTGTACTTTTTAATAGAAATAATTTTTTAATTAACTTTAATTTACTAACTAGATAATATACTCCTATGCTTTAAGATTTAAGATCTATAAAAATGTACATAGTGAAGAATCTCCCTTTGACCCAGGCCCTGCAGTCACCCATCCCCTCACCCCCTACAACCACTGTTACTAGTTTCCTTCCACAGATGTTTTATGTATATTCAAGCAGCATATACTTTTTTCCTTTTTTAACAAAAAAGTTTTTAACACATACCATACACAATTACACAACTTGCTTTTGTTGACTTTCAACAATAAATCTTGGAGATCTTTCCATGAAGAAAAATGACTTTTTTAACCCTCTTTTATACCTTCATAGTATTTTGCCCTGTTAATTGCATCCTCATTTTTTAAAAAATTGATCCTCTGTTGTTGGACATTTAGATTGTTTCTAATCTTTTGCTACAGTGAATAGCTTTACTATACATATAACTTACTTATCTACAAATTATAATAAATATGTACTTATATGTAATTGTACTATAATTATATATAAACAATTTCACATGTGAAGGAATATATATGAAGGATAAATACAGGTAGAATAATTAATATGTCTGGAAACTGTGGAGAGTAGGTATTTTTCTTATGTAAATTAGCCATATTATAATTAAATTATTAATTACATTAAAAAGGTTAAGTGTGTTATAAAACTATAATCCTCTTCCCAACTACTATTCTTCTTTGTAAATGTTTTGTTTCAGATACTTCATTCCCTAATCATTTGGGTTAATAAAATTACTCTTTCATTTTAGATCAAGTCTTAGTAATTATTGAATTCAGTGATGGTTAATGAATGGTATTAGGCACTTAACTTTAAAAATGGTCAAATTTTGTCAGAAATGGATTAAAATTAGATATTTTTATTAATATAATTCTTGATTAGTAATATTTGACCCATGTGAGCCTTGATATGAGTCTAAATCCTGCAAGTCTAAGAAATATATATCTAATTCAAAAAAACTTTTAAGCTTTAAATCAAGCAGATATCCTGAATTCATTTTATTAATGGAGAAATATGGTGATTTGGTTATACTTTTTAATATATTATTTCAAAAACCCAATGTCTGAAAGATTCTTTTAAAAATATTTTATATTTCCATATATTCTATTTGAACATATTTTGCTAGTTGTTTATGAGATTTGAGAGATAACATTTATAAACTGGCAAACCATCTAGAACATACTGTTAAATATATGTCATGGAGTAGTAACATAGCCAAGGTTTTGGAGAATAGCTGGACCTCATGCAGAGTTTCAGCATTTAACACATGAACATAGACCAGTATTATCTTACCATTAAATTTGAGGTGCTTGATTACTATTTTGTGTTACAAAAGACAATTGGAGCAATGTGTAGGTGGTGGGTGTCATTGGTTTAAAAACACATGATTCTTTTGTACTTGATTATATTATTCATTCATTTTCAAATAGTTAATGGCCCCTCTTACTTTGGAAGGATCTGCTAACTAGTTTATTATGTAAGGGGTTATATGTTCCCTTTTGCTTGGATAGTAGGATGATACTAGTTAAAAATGTAGAAATACATTGGCTAAAAAGTTCACATTGACAAGATATGCAAATATATTGATAGTCCAGAAATTGTTTATAACTGAGATTATATGAACTCTAGGTGGCAACTGACCAAGAATAATATTTATACATTCTGATCACTGGGTACAAGTTCTTTAATAGTTATTTACGTACATTTTTTTCAGAGAGGTAGAATAGTACAGTAGTGAAGAACATGGACTTGGAGCCAGGCTGCTTTATTAGCTTGTGACCTTGGCAAGTTATTTAACCTCTCAGTGCCTTTTTTTCCTTGTAAAATGGAGATGATAATAGTACTTTGTGGTGAGCAATAAATGAGTTAAAACATGTAAAGTGCTTAAGATAGCACCTGGAATATGGTGAGCATTAGTTAAGTATAAACTGCTGTCATTATTTTTATGATTAGCATTATTATCTTTATCATCATCAACATTCAAGATTAGCTTTCTCCTTAGAAAATATAACTAAATTTGGTCATTATCGGTGTGGTGGTAATTTTTAATGCTAATGCAGGAACTCATTACATAAGAAAGATATTATTTTGTACAGTCTCTTAAAATAAGTAGTTCTAGAAAATTTTAAAGTGCTGTAATTAATTCCTGAGATGGTGATAATAGCCTTGAAAAAGAATAGCTGGTAAGTTTGCATGCTCTATTTGATAATAATGATAATAGTTATTATTGTGTTCTTGTAATTGTTTCCTAGCAGTTGTGTTCCAGGGCATGGGTTAGTATGGCACACGTGTACCAGAGCTGGCACATGGAGAAGGTTGCTTTGCTGTGAGACAGCTACAACCACCCCCTTTCCTCTGTATTATCGGCACAGCCTGCTTACCTGGATTTCCTTTCCTTTTCAAGACGCACATGGGCACCTCCCTATCCCATGTCCACAGTCTCCCCAGACTCAGCTCTCTCTGCCTTTCCTGCTGCCTCTGTCCTTAATCTTAGGGTCCCCTAATGGGTGCATTTGTGTTTCATGGCTTAGATGTACAGAATTAGATTTTAAGTAAATTGATAGAGACTATATTAACCACTTTTTTCCCTTCATTACCAAAGATTATCTAAAAAAATTATCTAATCTCTCCATTTCTTTCCAATACTTTACAATCTGTATTTTTAAAATTATCAATTGTATTGTTTAACCTGCCTGGTCCTTTAGATCGATAATCAAATATTATGGTGACTAGTTTGTGAAAATGAAGGTAATTGTTGGCTCTAAGCACAAAGAGGCACCTTTAGTTACAGGCCTTTTTGTGCCCAGCCCCATTACCACCACCATTCCCCTGGGAATGCTCATAGATTCATGGTGCTTGCTTTTCTGTTACTCAAGATTGGTAACTCACAGCACACCTGAATTACAGTGTAGTCTTACTCTTTCTAGTAATGCCAGTGGTACTTTCTTGCTTATTAAATCTATATTCTTTACCCTTGGGTTATAGGTTTTCCATCATATGCAAAACTAAGATGAACACGATTTTTGGTGAAACATCCTCTGGACACCAGAGGGGTAATTTCTATGAAAGATTCTTCTGTCTAGTATTGGTTGTATAATTTGTATAGTTGCTTAAGGTAACATTACTTTTCTCATTTAAACTTCTAGCTTAGAGATTTCCTTGATTAAGAAGAATGAAGGACTGACATGGCCAGAGTTAGTGGTTGGTGACAAACAAGGAGAATTTATAAGAGACTCAGCCCAATGTGCTGCAATAGCTGAAAGGTTGATGCATCTGACCTCTGAAGAACTGGTAAGCAAATGTAGTAGTAGTGTGACTTCCCAAGGACAGGGAAGATTGTATGTGTGAATTATACCATGTTTTTCAAACATTATTTTGCTTTCCTAATATAAAAGACAGTTTAGGTACTACTGACTATTGTTTGAATATGGCTTAAAATTCTAGTGTTTATTCCTTATACTATATGAATATATACGTGTGTGTGGGCATGTTGTATATATAGGGTGGGTGTAATGTATGCATATAAATGTATCTCTCTTAGTACATTATTTGTAGAGATAGATAAAGATACATAGTTGACACTTTGAACAATGCAGTGGTTAGGGCACCAACCCTCACATAGTCCAGACTGTGTATAACTTTCCAGTTGGTCCTCTGTGTCCACAGTTCCACATCCTTGGATTTAATCAGCTGCTTATTATGTATCTCTGTATGTATATTTTAAGTGGACCCATGTTGTTCAGACCCATGTTGTTCAAGGGTCAAGGTATATGAAAAAATGCTCAGTATCGCTAATTATCAGAGAAATGCAAATTAAAACTATAGTGAATTGTCATCTCACACCAGTCAGAATGGCCATCATTAAAAAGTCCACAAATGATAAGTGCTGGAGAGGGTGTGGAGAAAAGGGAACCCTCCTACACAGTTGGTGGGAATGTAGTTTGGTGCAGCCATTACGGAAAACTGGAGATTCCTTAAAAAAACTAAAAATAGACTTACCCGGACATACATTCAGAGAGAACGCTAATTCAAAAAGATACATGCACCCCAATGTTCACAGCAGCACTATCTACAATAGCTAAGACATGGAAACAACCTAAATGTCCATTGACAGATGACTCGATAAAGAAGTTGTGGTATATTTATATATACGATAGAATAGTACTGAGCTATAAAAAAGAATAAAATAATGCCACTTGTTACAACATGGATGGACCTGGAGATCATCATTCTAAGTGAAGTAAGCCAGAAAGAGAAAAATACCGTACGATATCACTTATATCTGGAATCTTAAAAAAAAAAAAAAGACACAAATGAACTCATTTACAAAACAGAAACAGACTCACCTGGCTGAAGAACTTTATCATTTGTTGTAATGTAGTTCTGCTGAATAAATTCTCTCAGCTTTTGTCTGCAGACATAAATATCTTCCTTCTTTTAAAGCTGTTTTTGTTAAGTATTTTAAGTCAATGTTGACAGGGTTTTTTTTTTCCATTCAGAACTTCAGATATACTCCATTGTTTTCTGACCTGTGTAGTTTCTGATGAGAAGTCAGCTATCAGTTATATCTTTGTTCCTTTGTAATGTGATTTTTCCCTCCTCTGACCACTTTATTTTTTTTAACATTTTTTTTGATTTATAATCATTTTACAATGTTGTGTCAAATTCCAGGG